GAAGGGACTCGACACTTCAGTCCATCACTCTTCCATAACAGAACATGACTTTAAAGCTATCAAGCAAGTACTTGATCCCAAAACTCCGGAGGGGCTAGTAAACAAGGTGTGGTTTGACGTTCAACTGCACTTTGGACGCAGGGGAAATGAGGGTAATCGGCAGCTCAAACCCTCGTCTTTCACCACCAAAACAGACGAAAACGGGCTTAAGTATGTAACGCTGACGTTCAATGAGCACACAAAAAACCACAACGACCCGCAGGCGAGAAATAAAGAGAGCACAAGGGGATTTATGTGTGAACTGCCTGGTGATCCTCTCTGCCCCGTTTCTTCGTTGGAAAAATACATCTCCCTCCTACCCCCGGACGCACCTGCCTTTTATCTACACCCAAGAAGACAAGTGAACTGCGATGTCGACAATATTTGGTAAATGATGTGTAGTGCATATTATTTTAATAGATTAGGCTAGATTAGGATAGCTACTAAAAATCACATTTGCTTTGTTACAGGTTCACTCGAGAGCCAATGGGCGTAAATCACCTTTCGACAATGTTGCCTAGAATGTGCAAGCAAGCAGGAACACAGCAGAAATACACCAACCACTGCCTCCGCAGTACCACCATTCAGAAGCTTTCTGATGCGGGTCTTGAAAGCAGAGAAATGATGACCGTTAGTGGCCACAGGTGCGAAAGCTCTCTCCAGAGCTACTGGAAGCCGAATCTCGCAGACCGGAGAAAATGGAGCAATATTCTCTCCACGCCCAGCAACAGCCGAGTACAACCGCAGCCTAGTACAAGTAACCTTGTAAGCCAGTCTACGGATGCTGCACAGTTTTTCAGTGGGTGCACAATAAACGGCAACATACAAATTAATGTAAATAAATAGCCAAATAACCGATCAACGCTGTCTGTCTAATTTGTTCGCTAGCTGTTGTTAGTGTTGTTGCATAGCAACCACCTCGCACTATGTTTTGTGCAGAAGGCAACGGGGGGACTATTTTATTTTGAACATCATTATTTAATAATAACAACTACTTAAATTAGAGTGTGTATTTTTCTTTTATATTGCCACACTTGGTAACCGTTTTATAAAAGCAATAGCTCACTTCAGGCCGTGATATATGCTCATTATATCACAGCTAAGGGGGTTGTCGACCCTCCGCTTCGCGTCGGGCCGAACCACGCCCCTTAGCTGTGATATAATGAGCATATACCACGGCCTGTCGTGAGCTATTGCTTAAATATATCATATTCCAATCACTTGTATATAGACTCTTATTGCACTATTTCACTTTTTACTATTTTACTATTTTTCTTTTTGTATTTACTGCACTATTTTGTCTGTGTATCTGTTTTATTGTGTTGCACTGTTGGAGGAGCCTGTGACCTAAGGGGTGGGGGGGTGGGGGTAGGACACGTTCGAGTCCTGTTTTGGATAGTGTGCCGTCGATGGGTTTCATTCCATTTCAAAGTGCTGTTTGACGCGGTGTAAACTTTGCGCACTGCCACTCCAACATCCAATCACAGAGCTTGAGAACTAATCACGGGGTTTGTCAAACAGAGCACATGGTGTAGTCCTAAACGATAGCTGAGGATTCTGGGTAGTGTAGTGTCTTCTGCCATCCTAAACTCCGAAAAAATATGTGTTTCTCCGAATCGAAGGGGAAAAATACAAAAGCATTGTACACAATTTAAACCAATCAATGTTGTGTAATTAACAAGGATAATCTGGTGTTTTTGAGTTGATGAGTAGTGCAGATATCACTGTCAAATCAATCGACAGTAAGGAGAATACTTACTTCCGGGTGTAAAATGGACGCTCACATTGCCTTTAACTGCCGCCGACATGGACCGACTGCACGCCATAGGACCCTGACCAAGCGTCGCTCCTGGACGTTCAGGGAGTGAGAGTGTTGTTATATTTACTATCATAGCATTTTTGAACAGATTCTGCTCGTTCAGGTCATATCAGTGTCTCTACTGGGACATCTCTCCATGCTTTAATGTTCAAAAAGCTCTTTATTTTTCTCATACTGCCTGTGCTGCAGCACCTCTTTTCACCCTCTGTCTGAAACCAGAGCCCAGTCTGCTCTGATTGGTTAGCTGGCCGGCTCTGTTGTGATTGGTCAACAGCTTAGAGATGTCCCACCTCTTACCCCTAGATTCCACCGGGTCCGTCTGCGTCACGTCACGGCTGCGCCACGGTTTTGGTCCGGCCTCCTCCAGCGTCTTAACCCACCGGGCGCGTTTCAGAAGCGTTTCAGAAGCGGAGCGTCTTGCCTGCCGGGTCGCAGTTTTTGTTGATTTGGGCATATTTCCTGGACAGGCTACTTTGTGCAGACAAAGTTAATAATAATTGTAATATTCCAGTTATAAACGACATGAATCAAAGATGTGTTGCTGTATTTTAGTGGTAAAAAAATGCATTCATCATCATAATTATTCTATATATTTAATTGACACAGTGCCTGTAAACCGGAGGAGAACGCTGGCATTTCTCCTCCTACTTGAAAGATTAAGGAGGGATAGGGTCTGCAAAATTAGTTTATTTTGGGGATTGACTGGATGCTCTGACCGGTCCACTTCCTGCCCGACGCTATGCAACGCCTCGCAGCGCCTCAAAAATAGACTTGCATCCTAATTTTAGCGGAGCCCAGCGCCGAAACGCTTCTGGGACGCTTCTGAGCTGTAACGTGGCGCGTCTGGTGGAATAGCACCCATTGACTAGAGGGGCCGCGATCGCTGTGAACGCCGCAGCGCAGCCGTAACGTGGCCGTAACGCGGCCGTAACGCGGCCGTAACGCGGCCGTAACGCGGCCGTAACGCGGCGCAGACGGACCCGGTGGAATCTAGGGGTTAGACTATCATGTACAATGAGTTGGAGCGCTAGCCAATAGGAGCATGAGTGTTCGTAGTGATGTCACTATGTTCAGGAAGTAAACAAAGGAGTCCAATGGAGGTGTTTCCGAAAGGGGGGAGGAGAAACAGGGATATTAACCTTTGCAGACCATTGACATGCACTAAAACCTATAGAACACACTACAGGCAGAATAGGGCCTCTTTAAAGGATGCTAGGGTGATTGACTGTCTTCTTTTTATATTTAAACCCCAATTAAAAAGGGCGAAGAAAGGAAATGAAAAGCTTTTAGAAAGGTTTCTCTGCTGCAAAACAGACACAAACAATAAGTTTGAACATTGAGAACAGATTAAAATCATCTCAGTTGTACTCTTTATTTCTCCCTGGCTCTTACAGCCGGCCGTCACTGGACAGACACTGGAGGAAATGACGCTCATCGCTGACATATTTGTTCCTGATTGGTCCCGACCGGCTGGAACAACATGTTTACCGTCGCTGGCTGAGTGTGTGTGTGTGTGTGTGTGTGTGTGTGTGTGTGTGCGCGTGCGTGCGTGCGTGCGTGCGTGTGTGTGTGTGTGCATGCGTGTGTGTGTGTGCGTATGTGTGCGTGTGTGTGCGTGTGTGCGTGTGTGTGTGTGTGTGTGCGTGCGTGCGTGCGTGCGTGCGTGCGTGTGTGTGTGCGTGCGTGTGTGTGTGTGTGTGTGTGTGTGTGTGTGTGTGTGTGTGTGTGTGTGTGCGTGCCAGGCAGCTCTCTGGCAGCGTGGAGAAAGATCCTCATCCCCACAGACCCTGAGCTGCATGAGAAGGAGTCGGCGGGGGGTTAAGCTGTGACCCAGATTCCTGCTGGACTCTTTGTCTGCAGAAGATTCTCCTCATTCATCTCATCTCAGAGCGAAGCTACTTACCGGCATGAAAGCATCTGCAGAGTGACAGAGAGAGAGAGAGAGAGAGAGAGAGACTCACAGAAGAAGTGACTTCTGATGCACCACTTCATGCATTATGGATTTATTTTTGGGGATGCATGCAAATGAGACGCTCTCCAGAGTTTTGTTTGTACTGTATGTTGCGTGAAAGCTGCTGGAGATCTGCACGAGCCCCTGCACATCAGACGGGCCTTCTTAAAACCCACCTCTTCTCCTTACATTACATTTCATTTAGCTGACGCTTTTATCCAAAGCGACTTACAATTACCTTAGCGTATTAACATCTTTTAGAGCGTTGCTTTTATTGCTTTTAAATTGTCTATTGTTTTTACTTGGACTTGTTTTATGGTGTGTGAGCTGTGTTACTTTTTGTATGTTTGGTTTTGTTTATTTGCCTGTGCAGCACTTTGGTCTGGAGGTTTAAAGTGCTCTATAAATAAAGCTATATTGTATTGTATACTTAAGAGGGATCTTTTTTTGTAAATGACGTTGGGAAAGGGCGGCACTTCATCAGCAGGTTATTTATCATTTCTCTCCATTCATCTTGTGAGGTAACTGCATAATAAACATGTTTCACCTAACAGTTGAGTAAGTCTTAAAACCTAAACAGGGTCCAAAAAGTTCTCAACAAAACAACGTTAACATATAAAAAGTCGGCTTTATAAAAATGTATAATCAAGTCAAACCTGTGCCCTACATTACCCTCAGCTTTCATATTTATTCTGCTTTTTATTTAATTACTTTTATCTCAAAAACAAAATCAATGCAACTGTGACTTAAAAGTGACCTTTAATTGAAAAGTCGAAAATATTTCAGATTTAGTTTGGGTGTTAAAAAAAGATATATATATATATTTCATTACAAAATGTAAAAATATATATGTTTTAATATAATATAAAATAAATAGAAATGTTATATTTTACATGTATATATTATTTTATAAAAGTCTTATTGTTTGACACACAATCATCGAAACCTTTGAGGTGTCCCACAGAGTGACGAACCACACACACACACACACACACACACACACACACACACACACACACACACACACACACACACACACACACACACACACACACACACACACACACACACACACACACACACACACACACACACACACACACACACACACACACACACACACACACACACACACACACAGTGGGAGGGTTTCTTCCTGCACCCCTCTCCTCCCCCTCCTTTATCCCGGTCTTCTCCCCTCTTTTATCCGAGGTTTTTCTCCCAACATTCCCACAGCGTCTCAGATCCGTGGAGCGTCACATGGTAAGAGCACCGGCCTCACACACACTCACACACTCACACACTCTCACACACTCACACACACCAACACTTTCTGCTTCTTCTTCCTAACACTGTCAGATATTAGAGACGACAAAGAAAGACTTGGGTGTTTTCTTTTAGTCATGAGTTATTGATGAAGTGTGTTTTCGGAGGGGGGGTGGGGGTTGTGATTGGTTGGGGGATTATTTTTGTTTTGGTGTGTTTCTTTGTTTTTCATCTCCCAGGAACTCCTGTTCAAATGCTGCAGAGGAAATCTGACTTATACTGACAAAGGGATCAGTTTTGATCTTAGTTTGTGTTTTATTCAAGAGCGTGACCTTGTGAAGGGGAAACCTGAATATGTTAAAAGAAGAACTGAAAAAGTAACATTTTAGTGTAAAAATAGAGTCTGTAATGTTTAACGCTGAGTGAATACAAAGGGCTTTGAACAGTCAATATTGGATCTACTTTTTTCTTATGTAGATTTCTCCATTACAATCTCCTCGTCCTCAACAATTCCTTAATATAACTACTTACATTTCCCATTTCTTATTGTCTTGTAACATACCTCTAACACATATATATATATTATCCTGTTAAGTGAACTGTTTCGTGCTCTTTTCATTCGCCTTTTAACGCCGCTTTGGTCTCCACCAAGTCCTGTAAAGACGACATACTTAAAGTAAGGATATATGAGATTAATATTCAGCTGATAACCAATAGTTATCCTCATGGCCGATACGGCTGTTTCCCCTAAAAGCTGAATAACTTTCTGGATATCTTAAGAAAGAGACAGTAAAGGTTTTTAAGTAACACAGTCAATAGTGGACTTTCTTTTCTCTTGTAAAAAGTGCAAACTGCTGTCGTTTCTCTATGTCGTTTGTTGGAGTCCTGCCGATCTCCTCAAAATTGTGATGATTTGTCATTACGTCAGACACACAATCCTATTTCTAAATGTGTTCTTATAGGTATCCAATCATTTCTGGTAACATACCTCCGACATATATAACCCTAATGCCACTGGAGTCAAGTGTTTTGTTCACCTGATGATAATTATATCTCCTTTTAACTCTACTTTGGTCTCCACCAACTCCTGTTAAAAATACGTATTTTACGTAGGGATTCATGAGATTAATTTTCAGTCGATAATCAACCCCCTCATGGCTGATACTGCTGTGTCGGCTAAAAGCCAAAAAACTGTATCGATTTGTGGATACCTTAAGAAAGAGACAGGAGCTTCTGAGGTCGATGTTTTAATTGCAAGAAAAATCTGAATCTGCAATGTTGCTAAATCTTAAGTAGTCACAGATAACAGATAACTTACCATATCCAGTAATTGTCTCTTTAGAAAGTGTGTTTTCCCATTTATTAGAAATGAAACAATGGTTATATCATTTGACTGTTTTGCTGCATGGTTTCGAAGTTCTCAAACTTTCCTGGAAATGAAGCAACTTTTTCAAACTACACAATGGTGTACATGCTAAATACATGTGTTAACTATGGCATAACAACATTGGGAAACAGTGTTATGTCCCCTAAAGCTCATTATGTATAACTTCTTGATATCTAATCAAATAGACTGGCAACAGGATCTTGTAGATGGACTTTTTACTTGCAAGAAAACTAGAATCCGTAATATTGAAAAGTCTTTAGTAGTCACAGATCCTACTTACTTACATAATTTCCTATGATTGACTCCTTTCTAATTAGTCAAAAATGAAACCATGGTTATATAATTGGACAGTTTTTCGAGTTTTTCAAAAATAAGTTCTCGAACTTTCCTTGAAATGAAGCAATTGTTCAAAATGACACGACGGTGTCCGTGCTGAAGTGAAGTCTACTTGGGTTACTGACACAGACAAATATATATGAGAACTCAATATACCTTGATATACAGTATATTCACAGACATTAAGATACTGTAAGACCTATAAGATAACCGGATCATTTCAATGAAGGGTTGGGGTAAGAAGCTAAGGTAAAGCTCAGAGGTATGGAGTTAAGATGAGAGTAATGTATTGTTAAAGTCTTGGTATATTCACTGCAGGCTCAACAAAAGTCTAAGAGTGTTGCAATGAGGTTAGGACAGACAGCAGGACACATTTGGAAATAAAGATGCAGACAAATTAAAGATAATAGTGTAATTGTGCCTAATTGTGAAGCCCGTTAATTTATGAAGGCTTTAACTGATCTAAACCCACCGCCGTGCTCCGGAGCAAGATGTCTTTTTTGATTTATTTCCCACCTCATCACTGCACAAACACAAATTATCGATGTGATTCATTATACAACCATGTAACCCATTTCGATATCATTAGCAGTTCAGGAGGGTTTAAACACTGACCTGAGGACACACACAGGACATACATACATGTATATCATTAATACACACTCTAATTACAAAGTAACAGAAATCACTGCGAGAAAAAGACTGTCCAAATATGCAGACCAGTTATTTTCGTGTATTGACTTAGTTTTAACTTTAGAAGTCTAGTAAATATGACATATGCATGAATCAGTGTTGACAGATCTGCAATAAACCATGAAGATACAAACTTGGATCAATGAGAAAGAAGCATGCAGGTATATTTGCTTCAACTAAGCTATGCTTTTGGAGAGCACACATGGCCTAACTCGCAAAGGAGAAAAACTCAAATTTGCTCCAAAATGATACAAGTTCTTCCTTCACCCATGCTTCACCCTTCCACCACATTTTATTAAAATCGGGCAAGTGATTTTTATGCTGCTGACAAACTGCAAACTTGAGCTCTTTGGCGGAGTTCAGAAATAATGCACCTTCTCTTCCTGCTGTTTTAAAGCTGCATGTCCGCTCCTTCTCTTCTTGGGAGAGAGTTTCTGACGCTTGGCTGATTTCCAATAAGCCGCCGACAGAGACTCACACCCCCACTCTGTGCTCATTGTCTGGGAAAGCTTTAGTGGTGTTTCGCCTCTTTTCGGCTTCATGAGCTGCTTGGTTTTGGTTCCTGTAAATATACAACACTTTACAACCAAATGCACAAATATACGGGTTTCTAGGTAGTCCAGCTGGTTAATCAGTGAGGTAGACTTCCTGTTGATCACTTTTAGTTTGAAGGTTTAAAATTGTCGTGTTGGAGGGTTTGATGACTTCCTGTCGGAAGGTTTGATAACTTCCTGTTGGAGGGTTTGATGACTTCCTGTTGGAAGGTTTGATGACTTCCTGTTGGAGGGTTTGATAACTTCCTGTTGGAGGGTTTGATGACTTCCTGTCGGAAGGTTTGATAACTTCCTGTTGGAGGGTTTGATGACTTCCTGTTGGAAGGTTTGATGACTTCCTGTTGGAGGGTTTGATAACTTCCTGTTGGAGGGTTTGATAACTTCCTGTTGGAAGGTTTGATAACTTCCTGTTGGAGGGTTTGATGACTTCCTGTTGGAGGGTTTGATAACTTCCTGTTGGAAGGTTTGATAACTTCCTGTTGGAGGGTTTGATAACTTCCTGTTGGAGGGTTTGATAACTTCCTGTTGGAAGGTTTGATGACTTCCTGTTGGAAGGTTTGATAACTTCCTGTTGGAAGGTTTAAAAACTTCCTGTTGGAGGGTTTGATAACTTCCTGTTGAAGGGTTTGATAACTTCCTGTTGGAGGGTTTAATAACTTCCTGATGGAGGGTTTGATAACTTCCTGTTAGAGGGTTTAATAACTTCCTGTTGGAAGGTTTAAAAACGTCCTGTTGGAGGGTTTGATAACTTCCTGTTGAAGGGTTTGATAACTTCCTGTTGGAGGGTTTAATAACTTCCTGTTGGAGGGTTTGATAACTTCCTGTTGGAGGGTTTAATAACTTCCTGTTGGAGGGTTTGATAACTTCCTGTTGGAGGGTTTAATAACTTCCTGTTGGAGGGTTTGATGACTTGCTGTTGGAGGGTTTGATAACTTCCTGTTGGAGGGTTTGATGACTTCCTGTTGGAGGGTTTAATAACTTCCTGTTGGAGGGTTTGATGACTTCCTGTTGGAGGGTTTAATAACTTCCTGTTGGAGGGTTTGATAACTTCCTGTTGGAGGGTTTGATGACTTCCTGTTGGAAGGTTTGATGACTTCCTGTTGGAAGGTTTGATGACTTCCTGTTGGAAGGTTTGATGACTTCCTGTTGGAAGGTTTGATAACTTCCTGTTGGAAGGTTTGATAACTTCCTATTGGAAGGTTTGATAACTTCCTGTTGGAAGGTTTGATAACTTCCTATTGGAGGGTTTGATAACTTCCTGTTGAAGGGTTTGATAACTTCCTGTTGAAGGGCTGCTAAACATTTGTTTTGATTGTGATATTTTACTTAAGTTAATGGACATTGATAATCTTGTCCGTAGTTCATGAAACTACTGTAGCTTCATTAGACATTATACATATTGGATATTACAATTTAAAAAAAGCAACCCAATGAAGTAAAAGGTTAGCCTTGTATGAACTCTACACGTCTCTAAATTGATATGATATAAACATAGGGTTAGTAAATAGCATTTTATTTCCACATCTAGCAGACAAACATCATGATCTTCCCAAATTAGGGGAAGTCCAATATTCCCTCTCCTTTTAGCTCTGCTTTTGGTCTCCACCATCTCCTGAGAAGAACTCAATATTTAGCTGATACATCTTTCCACTTGATCAGATTTAGAATAGGCTCAAACTGACATGTTTTCAATTAAAAGGATCCTAAATGTAACTGTCTTCTTCCTTTTCTCTTTCCTGTGTCCAAATGTGTCTTTGAAGCCACCATGAGTGTCCTGCGGTGCAGTTTCCTCGTCCTCATCGTCCTCTGCCTCCCCCTCCTCACTGAAGCCAAGCGGCAGCCGGGTGAAGGGAAACCGGACAAACCTCGCCAGCCTCCGTCCACGGCCCCGCCGGCCAAGAGACCCAGGAACAAATCAGTACCCCGATCCGGAGAGCTGACCACCAAGGAGGGCCACAGCTGCACCTGGCAGACATCGGGAGAAGGACTGGTGAGCCTGCTGGTGAACTGCAGCACAGAGACACTGGGAGAACCGCTGAGGTGAGGGAGGCTTTGAAATCTCACCTGACTGGACTGTCTCTAAGGTTGCAGTCAAGTGGTTTATCATAACATAATTCACTTATGTAGCTACAGCCTTTTCTCCACTTAAGGTTCAAACAATAGAGTGTTAGTTATTCCGGTTCAGCACTAGCAGCATCGTAAATAATGAGTTTGACTTGGGATCGTTCTCACCTACACTTCAGTGATCGGATGTTTTAACAGCATCTAGTCCGTTAGTGACTGCAGGAAGACATATCAAATGGGCCCAACATCTCATATGAGGACATGTTTAATAACTCTGTAGAGTCTCTTGGGGAAGATGGCTCTGCTATGAGAATCTATCAATTTTACGTTAGCTACCTATCTCACAATACAAAAGTGAGCTTTTTACTTTACAAGCTTGCTAACCTTTGCTATTGAAATGTATAAAAACAAGTTTAACTAGGGGCCACATTCAATGAACCTGTCAGTGTGGTACTTACCAAGCCAAAGTAAGCTATTAAACATTATCTATCTTTCTAACAAGATAGGGGATGTTAGACATCTGTCTAGCTATGAACAAATTGGTGGCTCTTTTAATTAAATTAGATTTAATATTTAACACCCAAAAGGTTTAACTTGCAGTTCGGACCTTTGTCTTTTCATTCTGGCAGTCAGCTTTAAACCAGAACCTTGTCATTTGTTTAATAGTTACTTTCATTACAGGAAGAATCTTTGTTTTGATTATCTCTGGGGTTTTTTCAAGTAAAAGTGGGTTCTTATTTAGAGAAATACCAAAAATAGCCTTCAATCTAACCATGGTGGCTACCTGTATTTCTGATTTGCTGGTAACAGTCTAGTTTCTCTGCGTATCCTCCAGGTACTGGTGTCGTTACGCGGGTAAACCGGACCTCTGCCAGGCGTACGGGGTGAAGTCCAGCCAGTACTGGAAGCAGCTGGTGGGGAAGCTGAAGAAGAGGCAGAACGCCTGCGATGGAGAGAAGGTCCTGAAGGCCAAAACCTGCAAGAAAGCTCCGTCTGAAGCCCACATGAAGATCGCCGAGCGAAGTGGAGAGGAGGAGAGGAAAGGAGGCAAGGAAGGAGGCAAGAAGAGGGAAGGAACGGCGGCCACGAAGACCTCAGAGGGAGGGAAGAGGAGGAAGAAGGACGAGGAGGAGGAAGAGGAGAAGAAGAAGAAGAAGACGACGACGACGGAGGACTGGACTGGGTTTGATGAAGAGGAGGGAGTGATGAACGACATGGCGCCCGTTCAGAGTTACTGCAGCGAGGGATGGACCTCCGTCTGCTCCTTCTTCGTCAGGTTCTTCGATGGTTGAGGGGAAAATAATGAAGGAAATGTAACAGAAGCTCTTTGAGGTGCGAGTTCACAATCTGAGAGCAGCCGTTTGACCGTACGGGAAACTCCAGGCAGCTCATCTGTACAAATATGTTTTTTTCCAGCTGCTTAGGTTAAAAATGTAGAATTTGAGGTTCATTTAGACGTAAAATTGCACTTTGTTAACATGAGTAGATAATGTTAGTGCAACAAATGAACTTGTATTTGTTGTTATAGTCGAACGACAATTGAAAACATGGCAATCTGAATCAAACGTCAAAGATCACACAGGTTTCCCTTTGCTGCTGTGAAACCACATGAAAACAATCTGATTACATTTGAGTTCAGTTTGTGTTATTTTAGCATATTTAGTTATCTCGTACGGAGTTTGTTGTGGTTTTGGTCTCTAGAAATGCTGTAGACCTTGTAATGTTAGAACTAGAAATTAAAAAGTGTTTTGTGAAGAACCAATCAGCGATCACTGACCATGGAGCTGATCATTTTGATTACTAGATAAATAGTTTATTTTTGTCATTAATATTTTCTATACGCGTTTTGTAACTCTTCTCTTAAAACAATCTGGTTTCTGTTGACGGAAGTGAAACCTTTTTTTATACTTTTCAAGTGATTTTAACACTGTTTCTGGAATTCAATAAAAACAAATGCTGAAAATGTCACCTCAGAGATGCATTTCATTATTTATTATTGTACAACCACGTGATATTTGGGGACCACCAATGAAAAGCTTTTAGTAATATTAGTTGTATGTGTCTGAAAATACAAGGATGCAGCAGCTCAGTAATAACATGGTAAATATGACATTATTTCACTGTGATCATCACCTTGTTATGACCAATACATGTCCAGTGATTACCCCAAAAGAAAACACCATTTCTGTATTTTTTGCAGAAATGTTTTCATTTTTCTTTTGCAAAAAGCATTGCATCACCCGAACTCGTATGTTAGGGGATGTGGGCGCTACCACGTAAAGTCGGTGAAAGCTTCGGGCTGTCCCATCGTCAAATCTTCAAGTTCTTCGTGCTCTAAGCAGCCATTTTCCGCCCTTTATGTAAACCTTCCGTAGCTCTGCATCTCTGCAGACTTTGACTGACAGACTGTTCATAGTTTGGTGACATGGAGCTGTCTGGAGACACGAAGTAAACATGATATTTTCCATTTCAACAAAAACAGGGTTTTCTGCTTTAAGGGGACATTAGGGCCCACGTCTGGTGACCTTTCAGGAAAACCATTCAGCCGTACATATTTTTCATTTCATTTCATAAAGATATGAATGATGGATGAGGAAGGGTTGTTCACAGCGACCTGGAGTTTCCCCTCGTCCTGTTTGTCCTCTTTACGACTCAGTGTTCACGTGCACAGGTCATAAAGAAATACCATCCACCTAGAAACATCTATTCACATAAACACGCACGCACGCACGCACGCACGCATGTATGGAAAGCCCAATGTGCCATAATACGCATACATAGTTTTGCGCGAATATACGGGGAGGTCCGTATATTCGCGCATAGTTTCGCGGACCTCCCCGTATATTCGCGCGAAACTATGTATGCGTATTATGGCACATTTGGCTTTCCATACACACGCACGCACGTGCGCACGCACACACACACACACACACACGCACACGCACGCACGCACACACGCACGCACGCACGCACACACACACACACACACACACACACACCTTCTGACGTGTCTGTTCTTCAGTATAGTAGAAGTGGAATAACTACGTTTATGTGGAAACGTGCAAAAAACTCTGTTAGCAAGAACCAGCATTTGCTGTTGTCGCTTCATTTGTGACGCCTACTAAAGGAGCTGAAAAAGTAAAGAAATAATAAATGGCAGCGCACACTTTGAAGATATAAACCCAGATTCTCGTCATGTCAACATCGTTTCTAAAGAAAGTCAGGAGTTTTACAAAACACTCTTTTCCAGTTACCGAAAATGACATCAACACAATTAGGAAACACCTGTGTTTGTGTGGTTTTAGCCTCACATCGATTCATTCTTCCTCATCTTCCGGTCATTAGGAGATGCATCCGCACTGTCCTGCAGAATAGCAGCAATGAGTGGATTTCTACAGCATGATGCTTCTAAAAAGAAAAGTGTCCTGCTCTCTGGAGCTGATGTCAGACAGCTTTGAAGAATTTGAAAAGTTCCCCACAAAACAAATCGATGGAGGATTCTGGACAACTGTCGCTTTGAGAGAAAGCTGCCAGCTTCACAGAGGAAGGTCAACGTTCCTGCTTCAAAAGGAGTGTTTCTGCACACTGTGCTATCCTCCAGAGACCTACTAAAGCAGGGGTAACAACAAGTGAAAACAGTCTAGTTCGGAGTAAATTCTAGCGCACTCGAGCTGGTTTCTCCATTCTTACCTACCCTACCTTTAAAGGAACATCCATAGATATTTGAGTCATATACATTAATTATGTAAAAGGAACGCGGTTTGAGGTTTAAAATGTTTTTTGGTGAGGATTTGAAGACTTATTATTATTAGAGACCTACTAAGGCTGTGGTAAGAAAAGAACAGTACAGATATGTCTACCAATGTCCTGAAACAATTATGTTCACTTCAAAAACCTCCAGTGGCGTAGGAGTAATGACTTTGGCGTGACAGCAATTCATTTCCTTTGAAAGAATCGCTGCCCATTTGTGTTGAAGGGAACATGGGTATTGGTGCTAGACTGTTACCACTTGTTGTTTTGGGTAAAAAGGGTCTGGGGTCTGGAAAATATAAAGTCTCTCCACTTTGAAGGGGAACGAAAAAACGAAAAAAGCAGGGACAGACATTTTAAGGAATTTGGAGAGGCTGGACACCTCTCAATGGTTACCATGCCTACAACCCCAGAGAAGGAGTGTGTGTGTGTGTGTGTGTGTGTGTGTGTGTGTGTGTGTGTGTGTGTGTGTGTGTGTGTGTGTGTGTGTGTGTGTGTGTGTGTGTGTGGTGTGTGTGTGTGTGAGAGAGTGTGAGAGAGAGAGAATGTGTGTGTGTTGTAGTGGGATCTATGGCAATTTGGCAAGACGTGTAGTTTACCATACAATTTGTTAAAAAGGGCTTGTATGACACATGGGCACAAGTGTGTGTATGTGTGTGTGTGTGGTGTGTGTGTGTGTGTGTGTGTGTGTGTGTGTGTGTGTGTGTGTGAAATACGGAGTGTGTCTCCGTGCAGACTTGCTGAATGATTAATGTGTGTGTCACTGATTGTTTATGTCTAAACTAGGAAGTGTGTGTGTGTATGAAAGTGTGTATGTCCTTCTACATGTCACAATTCATTGAAAAGCAGTTGCTGCCTCCTACTGGTAGATCGGGAAACCAACACAATGAGGAGTGTGTGTGTGTGTGTGTGTGTGTGTGTGTGTGTGTGTGTGTGTGTGTGTGTGTGTGTGTGTGTGTGTGTGTGTGTGTGTGTGTGTGTGTGTCTGGTGATGACTCTCTTGACTGAAACAGAGGCGTCCACTCTTCGCTCCTCAGAGGTCGTTGAGAGTCGGCCGCAATCAGCGTCACCTCCTCTCCCGTGATTACTGCGGTGATAATGACACCAAACATCCACCTCGAGTGTGTGTGTGTGTGTGTGTGTGTGTGTGTGTGTGTGTGTGTGTGTGTGTGTGTGTGTGTGTGTGTGTGTGTGTGTGTGTGTGTGTGTGTGTGTGTGTGTGTGTGTGTGTGTGTGTGTGTGTAGTAGACAGAAGGTGAAATGGGAAGGGAATGGAATGTTCTGATTGTCATTGAAAAACTATTTCAAGCTGAGAGAGCTGCTAATGACGGGAGAGATGTTACATGTCTGATCTGCAATGAGAACAGCTGATTTGGAGATTCATTTCAAGTCTCTTTTACGTCTCTATTTGCACATAAACTGCTCCTCTCCTCATGCAACTGATAGGTCTTTTGCAATATACATCAACCCTTATGTTCAGCGTGCAGTGCTAAAAAGCGAAGCGGTTTGAGGTTTAAAACGTTTTTTGGTGAGCATTTCCCACACGTTTAGGGTTTAAAACTGCAGTAGATTTAATTGAAAAGTCATATTTAGGTTACATTTAAAAGTGGTGTTTAGATGTTCCTTCACTTCTAGTGTTTAGTTGAGCTTTAGATTGAGAGGAATATCGATGAAAGTAGGCAGACACACTCAGTTAAAGACACGTCCACACATATATAAACTGCGTAGAGGTGAATAAGTGAAATCTGGATGATTTTTTTAATAGTCCTTCCTGAGTACCTGACGGTCCGTTTCTATGACGACCCTCATCCCTGCTTCACTGCGTGGGTCATTTCACTTAAATGCTAAATTAGCATAGCAATGTTGAACAATCCAAGATGAAGGCATGGTGCTGTGTGATTACAGGAAGTTCGAATAATTATGCAACGAACCTGCAGACAGATTGTTTTATTCCTACAGGTGGATGTCCGACCCAGTCTCACGGCATTTCGTGTTATAGTCACGAAATGTAATCTTTTGATTCGTGTTCACCAACACGATTTTCCCCTTTTTTTCGTGTCACACAGAACGATTTTAAAAGCAATGTATTTCTATTGGTAGTATGTTTCGTGCCTGCACCAAATAATAACAAATTAGAAGGAAAAAAAGATTACAAAAATACAGATGTCAGTATTCTGAGGCTCTGAGACATTTCTTTTCCTCGCGGACGGCAAAAAAAGTCCAACATTATACTTTTTAAAATAAAAACAATAATCATGGCTTGATATTGAGCAAGAACATGTTTTTATGAACCTCACAGCTTCTGGTCTTCCAAGACCCGACCGCACAAAAAGACGTGTTGCAGGCACGAAACATACTACCAATAGAAATACATTGCTTTTAAAATCGTTCTGTGTGACACGAAAAAAATGAGAAAATGGTGTTGGTAAACACGAATCAATAGATTACATTTATTTCGTGACTAATAACACGAAATGCCGTCAGACTGGGTTGGGATTTCCTTTCCAACAAATCCAGTTCTGATGGTACCGATTGTTCCCAGTTCACCCACGTGCAGAGAGGCAGTGAGAGGAATACATCTAAATACGATTATGCACACTTATTGCAAGAGAAAATTATTTGTACTCATATCAAAATGATGCCGAAATAACTACTGATACAGATTAGTAAAAACCACGAATAAATGCAAAGACTTTCAAATATATGTTTTCTGAATGGAGATCAATCACTGTATGCTAAGCTAACATTGTAGCTGCTCCGTCCACACTCACAATAACGTCATATAAACACAAAAAACAAAAAAACAGTTTCTTCACAGAAATGTAGAGCTCAGTGTGCCGTGGTCTGACAACTTTTGTAAAACAGCCATTCAAATAAGTTTGTCTTAACTCAAAAAGCCCCTCACATATTTGACTAGTCTTTACCTTACCTCCACAGAGAAGTGTAATACGTCTCAACCTTATAATACTCTTACCCTGAGTTATCCCTTAACTTATTGTAGGAATGATAAATAAAAAAGCAATACGAATAAATGGGCAGAAGCTGCTGGTGTCATTCTTCTGTTTGAGACGATCCGTGCATGATCTCATTATTAATTTCTCCTGTGCAGAATGAGAGAAAACTGAGACACACACGCACACACACACACACACACACGCACACACACACACACACACACACACACGCACACACGCACACACACACACACACACGCACACA